CAAGTCACCATATCGGTTGGCACCACCTGAGATGCAGAAGTTATGTATGCAGGTTCAAGAGCTGCTAGACCGAGGGTTTATCCGTCCGAGAAGTTCTCCATGGGGAGCACCGATCCTTTTCGTGTAAAAGAAGGACGGATCGCATAGGATGTACATTGATTATAGGGAGCTGAACAAGCTGACGGTCAAAAACCGCTATCCTTTGCCAAGGATCGACGATTTATTTGATCAGCTTCAGGGTGCATCTTGGTTCTCCAAGATTGATCTTCGGTCCGAGTATCATCAGATGAGGATTAGGGATGAGGATATACCGAAGACAGCTTTCAGGACTCGTTATGGGCATTATGAGTTTGTGGTGATGCCATATTAGGCTCACCAATGCCCCGGCAGCGTTCATGGATCTGATATTGGATCAGTCAGTGATCGTTTTTATTGATGATATCCTGGTTTACTCCAAAACTAGGGAGCAGCACGAGCAGCACTTGAGAGAGGTGCTGGAGACATTGAGGGCGGAGAAGCTTTATGCAAAGTTCTCCAAATGTGATTTCTGGCTGCGGGAAGTGCAGTTTTTAGAGCATGTCATCAATCAAGAGGGTATTTCGGTTGAACCAGCTAAGGTGGAGGCTGTGATGCGATGGGAGGTACCGAGGAATGCCTCAGAGATTTGTAGCTTCTTGGGTTTAGCGGGTTACTATCGGAGGTTTATCCAGGATTTTTCCATGATTGTTGTGTCATTGACCCGATTTACCAAGAAGAATGTGACTTTCCGGTGGGATGAGGATCAGCAGAGGGCTTTTGAGACCCTGAGGCGGAGGTTATGCGAGGCTCCAGTCCTGGTACTGCCTTAGGGGTTGGATGATTTAGTGGTATACTGTGACGCATCTATTTCAGGGTTGGGTGCAGTGTTGATGCAGAGGGGGCATGTGATTGCTTATGCCTCGAGCTAGTTGAAGCCTCACAAGGCAAATTACCCCATGCATGATCTGGAACTGGGGGCGGTGGTGTTTGCCCTCAAGATTTGGAGGCATTATTTGTATGGGGTACGGTTCATTATTTATACTGATCACAAGAGTCTAAAGTATTTGATGGATCAGCAGAACCTTAATATGCGACAGAGGAGATGGTTGGATGTGCTGAAGGATTATAATTGCGAGATCCTATACCATCTAGGGAAGGCCAACATGGTGGCCGATGCATTGAGTCGCAAGGCAATGGGGTCCCCGATCAGGGATATTTGTATGAGGATGACTGTAAGTTCACCTTTGTTGGACATGATTCGAGGGGCCCAGGTCGAAGTGGTGAAGAAAGAGAATTGGAAAATGGAGAAAATTCAGGGGCAGTATCCTTTGTATGTTAAGGATAGTCGCGGCTTGTTGACGCAGTGTGGCCGTGTATGGGTGTCGGTATCAGTGGGAGTGAGGCAGAGGCTGTTAGAGGAGGCGCATAAGTCCAAGTTTTCTATACATCCAGGTGTGACAAAAATATATAGGGACTTAAGGCTGAGTTATTGATGGCCCTGCATGAAGTGGGAGATCGCCTGGTTTGTGGAGCGGTGCTTGACCTGTAGGAAGGTCAAGGCCGAGCATCAGCGGCCTCATGGCAAGGTTCAGCCGTTAACCATTCCCATGTGGAAGTGGGAAGAGATCACTATGGACTTCATTATGAAGCTACCGAGGACGGCAAGGGGAGTGGATGACATATGGGTTATTGTGGACAGACTGACGAAGAGTGCCCACTTCATTCCGATCTCCGAGAGTATATCCACAGAAAAGTTGGCAAACATCTATGTTCGAGAAGTGGTGGCTAGGCACGGGGTGCCGGTGTCAGTGGTTTCGGATAGGGATGTTCGGTTTACATCCAGGTTTTGGAAAATTTTCCACGAGGAACTGGGTACTCAGCTATACTTCAGTACAGCATATCACCCTCATACTGATGGTCAGAGTGAGAGGACGATCCAGACATTGGAGGACATGCTGCGAGCATGCGTGCTAGATTTTGGACGAAGTTGGGATACATACCTCCCACTGGCAGAGTTCTTGTACAATAACAGTGATCATGCCAGTATCGATCGAGCACCATTCGAGATGTTATATGGTCGGAGGTGCAGGACCCCAGTATGATGGGACGAGGTTGGACATCGGGTGATGGGAAGCATGGAGGTGGTACTCAAGACCACCGGGTTGATCCAGCAGGTGCGCGACCGGTTGCAGGTCGCGCAGAGCCGTCAGAAGAGTTATGCTGATCGACGGCGATCGGATCTTGAGTTTCAAGTGGGGGATTTTGTTTTGCTAAAAGTGTCACCTTAGAAGGGGATTATCAGGTTTTATAAGAGAGGCAAGTTAGGGCCTCGATTTATAGGCCCGTTCAGGATCCTAGCCCGAGTGGGCAAGGTAGCCTATCGTTTAGAGCTTCCAGAGGAGCTTAGTCAGATTCACAACACCTTCAACGTGTCTCAGTTTCAGAAGTGTGTTGCTGACGAGTCCGTGGTTATATCCATGGATGATATTCAGGTGGATGGGGGCCTGAATTATGTCGAAAGGTCGGTTTCCATTCTAGACACGAAGACGAAGGGACTTCGGAACAAGGAAGTAAAGTTGGTAAAGGTCCAATGGCAGCACCGAAGGGGCTCTGAATGGACTTGGGAGCCAAAGGTGGAGATGCGTAAGCATTACCCCGAACTGTTTTCATCCACGGACTTCGATGGCGAAATCTAGTTCAAGTGGGGGAGAGTTGTAACATCTAAAATTCTGGTATGTCTTGAAACCCTAAGGAATGTTAATTTTTGCATAAATGCTCCCTTAAGTACGTTGGGCGTACTTAAGTGTATGCTTAGCGTACTGCATGGATGTGGTCGCGGAGGAATCAGGGTACGCTGGGCGTACCTTGAGTTACGTGGTCGCCAGGAACGCAAAACCCTAAAATCCAGACTTGAGGCCTATTTAAACAACTTTAAGTCCCTTGGACTAAACCCTAGAGAGCCTCCACAGCCTTAGAACGTCCATATACTCCTGCAAACCTTGTGAGATCATTCTTGAGCCTTAACGAGTGAATTTGTGGCCTTTTAGTGTGTATTTCAAGAAGAAGGGGTGGTCAAGCAAGCTTGGATTAAGTGGGTGCTTCAAGATCCTGCACCAAAATCATCTTACAAAGCTTCTGGAGGTAAAAAGCTTGCCTCTTTCCTTTCTAATCTTTAGATCTAGCTAGGGGTTTAGTGATTTGTCCCTTTGATGATCTTTGGACCTCTTTTGTGAGCTAAGCCTCCTCATGCGTGGGTAAAAGACCTTGGAAAGGTCTTAATGGAGTAGTTGGGTATGTATGAGGCATGCAAGGGCATAAAGTTGCCAACTTTATGCCTTAGGACATATTTTCAGACTTAGATCTAGCTTTTCGACGTGAAGGATTCGAGCATTAAGCACTTAATGGAAAGAGTGCTTAAAATGGTTGTACAATGCGCGTAACTGGATGTACACAGGGCTTAGTCCCTAGACCTTCAGCATGCTGCACGTACCAGGGTGGTACGCTAGACGTACGCAGCTCAGTTGGGCCCTAAGCTGTTTTGGGCCTTTGGGCCTCATTTGGTTGTTGGTCTTGATTGGATTCTGTGAGATAGAGTCATTTTCATTTGTTTGGGCCGTGGACTTATCGGTTGGGCCTTATTGGGCCTAGGGGCCTATTCAGGATATTGGACTTGGACTTTGGGACCCATTTGCAAGAAAAGGGTAATTGGTCCTTGGGGGTAGAGTTTGAAGTTTGGGCCTTTCCTTGGGTAATTTAAGGTCTTATCATTGATTATTATTATTGTTATTATTCAGCTCGGGAGGTTGCGAATTATTAGGAGGACAGTATTTGTATTCATCGGACGGAGGTGAGTCTTCTCACCATACCTATGTGTCTACGACACCAAGGCCGGCCCATTATGTGAACATGTTATGTATGTGTTATTCATTTATAAATTGATATGTTATGTGATATTATGTTGGTATGGAAGACTCGGGGGGAGCCCGAGGCATTGGATATAAGACCAAGTGGGGTAGCCCATGGCATTCCTAGGTAAAGACCATGTGGGGTAGCCTATACCATTAGATGTAAGGCCATGTGGGGTAGCCCATGGAAGTCCTAGGTAAAGACCATGTGGGGTAGCCCAGGGCATTCTTGCTGAATCGTATTGCATGGTTACTGTGGCATGATTATAGCTTTATTAGCTATCAAGATATATGTATGTGAATATGTGTGGTATGCTCTGGGAAACTCACTAAGCATTTCCCTTACAGATTGTTGATTTGTTTCAGGTACTTCTGAGCGCAAGGGCAAGGGCAAGGCGTGATGATGTGGCGTGCACTCTATCTGTCTTTTTAGTGTGTTTGGGACCCTCTGATGTTTTAAAAGAAAAAGGAGAACAATGATGTAATGAATGTTGATTTGAAGACAAATGTTTTGGGAATTTATGGTTTATGAGATTGGCTTTGATTATCTAAAAATGGAAATTTTTCTTTGTAAAAATTGGGTCGTTATAGACTCAAGGTATTGAAACTGCAGGTGTTAGAGCTAAGGGAATGAGTATGTTGGAGGGATAACTTACCAGTTCTACAACGTTTAATGGTTTATCATTGCCTAAAACTCAAGAGTATCCCTTTGTATGGCGGTGATTGAGCCGCAGTATACCATGTCTGGGAATGTAGAGGTGTTGCTCGGAGTTGGAGATCATGTGTTGTTGGTAGAAGAAGATTGAGTTAAACTGTTGGTGAAAGAAGAGTATAGGTATCTAAAAAATTCAGAAGAGAATTTAAATCTCCAAATCACAGATGAAATTTGGGCAAATCTTGATAGTAGAATGGATGATAGAAGAATTTCGGTAAATATTTTTAGTTTCTGTTTATTTAATAATATGTTTTAAATTTAAATCTCCATCAGTGAGTGTTTTATTACTTTTTTTATCATAACATTATAACTGTGGTAAACAACTTATAAGCCTTAGAATTTTAAACCCCAGGGTTATAGAAATGAGGCAAGAGACTGCCGAAGAAGGAGAGGAAATAAGGAGCATATTAAAAGTCATTGCATCCACTGCAAAGTTCTGGTATGCTACAAATTTTGTTATCAACCTAATCCTTATATCTTAATTCTCAAAGTCAACAACATATGTATCTTTATGAATTTTATGATTAGTATTATTAATTTCACATATGTGAACACTGCAGTCATGATTGGGAGAAACTGAGAAGCATGTTGTCTCTTCATTTAAAGCATGTATGGGGAGGTATGCCAATTTACAAACTTAAACATGTTTTTGATGGAGCATTGACTTAAATGTGACAAGGTTCTATTATCTTTATACAATTATATAAATTGTTGCTACATGTTATTTCTGAGTATCTACAAGCAAAAATGATAATAGATGAACAAAAAGTTTCATTAGGGGAGACGCATGCTGAGTTGGTGAAAAGGTTGGATGATGGTATTTCTTCTCCATTCTCCCTTTTCTTTTATCCCTTTTTTGCTGAATGATGTTTCTCTATTGAGGAACATCAATTGATTCCATAAATTAGAGGTCCATCTGTTCTAGTTTCCTCAGTTTTTGAATTTATTTGCTCACAAATTGATAGAATGCATGAAGTGGAATTGAAAATAGTTTTTCATGAGATGCTTAGGTTCTTCCACGAGACTTCTCCTACACCACCACTCTCGCCCATCATTCAAGTATGTCGTCTGATTATATGTTTTTCTTGCTAGTTTTTTACCTCAGATCTTAGGTGCTTGTTGAACATGGGTATGCATGCCAACTGTTTGAAGTATTTTCTACAAGAAAAAGCTGTCTTTTTTACTTGTCAAAACAAAAAACAGTATATCTCAACTCGAAAATAGTTTCGAAAGAAAGTTTTTGAACATGGATATGCATGCCAACTGTTTGAAGTATTTCCTATAAGAAAAAAACAAAACTCCTTTTCACTTTGTCAAAACAGAGACCAATGAACCAAACTAAAACATTTTTTAAAAAGGTGATTGATGAACATATATGTATATCAAATCTGTAGTTGGAGTTGTACGGAATTGTTTCCACATGGGATTTGGGAGGAAAGTAGATCCAGAACCAGGGAGATGTAGAAGAACAAATGGAAAGAAATGGAGATGCTATAAAGAAGCTTATCTCAATTCAAAATACTGTGAAAGGCACATCCATAGAGGCAGAAATCGTTCAAGAAAGCATGTGGAAGTAAACTCAACACCCAATACAACACCATTATGAATCTCCACCAAACCCATGATGAATTACCATATTTCAACTTTCCTTTATCCCCCCCCCCCCCCATTACACATATCATCATCGTCATCATCATCATCCAGACCTCCTGTTAATGGTTGTAATGTTGTCTCATCTCATCAAGATCGGTTTTGGTTGGAATCTAGTAATTCAGAAAAAAGATAACATGTAATTTGTTTGTGGAGTGTGAGTGTGAGTGTGAAAACATTTCTTAATCCCTTGTCATCATCATGACTGTACACATGCACATAGACAGACACCCACATGCTAATGTCCAGTGACATAAATGATTCTCTTCTCTTTCTGAACATATCAACTCATATGCTTTCACAGCCTGTACTTTTTTCATGCTAACTAGCATCTTGCCATTTCAAGAACAAAATTTTACCTTCATTCTATCATTAGGATATGGTTTTGGACCATTTGTCAGTTTCTTTGATTATACTTAGTACTTCCCTTCTCCACCACTACACATAAACCATTTATCTTAATAAATAATAATCTATCTACCTTTTAAAAAAAATAAAATAAATATATAAGCTTTACCTTTGTCTAAAGTTGTATGTGACAACCATCTTTTTAGAAATGACCCTGTATAATTATATGATCGTAAGTTCAAATGGATAATTGTTGCCTTCCGTACATAACATAGGGCCGATAGGATCGGGCTTTGGTCCATTCCTAGTCACCTAGACCAGACCAGACAAAGAATACTTGGTTTTACTGATTCGAATTAGAGGTCCAAGTATAGGTTATCTATTTCTCTATAGGTACCCTTGCTTTTGTTTTCTTTTTAAAAGGTTTAATTAACTACTATCAAAACCAATTACCTCATATCATTTAGGTAGGTAAAAAATTATTTTCTTTCCCAGTTAGGTCACAGTCAACTAAGTTTATAATAGTATAATTGTTTTTAAATATCATTTGATTAAAATAAATATTTTAAAAATGATAATTATTAACTAAAACAAAATTTTAGATATCCAAAGTGTAAAAGTTCCAACAGGATAAATCAATGTTGACTGGACCTCACGGTAGTAATATTTCACAGATGATGAAGATAATCGTATAACTATAGATTTAGCTGCCCCTTATTGGTTTAAGCCAAAAAACCTGGGTTAATGTAATCAAGACATTGATATATGAAGAAGCGTTGTAGTGGCATTCTTTCTTGAACTCGAATCTGCTGCAAGAGCTTGTATGTAATTTGACAAATTTCTCCTTTCTGCTTAGGTTAAGTGCATGAAATAGCAACATATTTTCATGGATTTTTTGTTTACATTGGTATTCCTCTTCAGTTTTTTCTTATTATGGGGGTTAGAGTTGGAGGCTGAGCTTGTCAATGCCACAGGGGCTGCAAAGCCTACTCGGAAAATAAGGTTTGTGACTTGTTTCTTAAGTTGCCTACACAAATTTGTTGTGTTATGTAGTAATAAATATTTTTTTTATAATGACAATAATAACTATGAATATATTTTCTACTTGTCGCCAGATCTGAGCAAGACAAGGAATTAGAATAGGAAGTTAGGGGTGAAGTTGCAAGGGCATAACACTTCCATGGAGACTATCAAAAGAGAACTTAGTCACCAGTTCCTTTTAATGTTGTGTTTTGTTTTTTATAATACATAGTATTAGAATGATTATTTGTATTTGACATATGATATTTTTTTTGAAATGAATTATCGTTCTTATGTATGGTATTTTATTTTGTATTATGATAATTTCAATCTGTTGTTTAATTTGACAATTTGTAATTCTATCAAAAATATATATTTTTTAGAACATTTAAAATTATGACACACAAATGTGTGTCATCTTCATTTATGACAGGGGCTTTAATGCTACGCAATGCATGTCCTAAACGAGTGTCGTAAGTTTACGACACGCAAATGTGTGTCATCTTCCTTTATGACAGGGCCTTCCTTGACACGCAATGCGTGTCATAAACGCGCGTCGTAAATGCGTGTCGTAAATGCGCGTCGTAAATAGAAGACGCGCAAAAGCTTGTTGTCTCTCGTTATGACAGGGCCTTCCTTGACACTCATTTGCGCGTCATCTGAGCGTTTTACGACATGCATTGCGCGTCGTAAAAGGCTTTTTTCTAGTAGTGAACAGACCATAGATCTGATTATACATTTTGTTGGATTAGTGTCTAATCCCGTAACTATATTTGGTAGGTATTTGACCCGGTTGTGCATGGTCCTTTTGGGTTGCCTTCACCAAAGCAACTTGATAGGATGATTTGTGGAGAAAGAGATTAATTATGATTTATTAATATATTATATGAATAATATATTAAAGGAGAAATCATATAGTTTAATTAATATTAGACAATAATTAATTAAGAAATTAATTCTTTGGCGAGAAGGGATTAATTGAACTTTGGGGACTTATATTGTAATTATAAGATAATTGCATTGTGGGCTATGGATTCCTTTTGGGAAGGGGATTGGATAAAATCTATGGGAAGCCCATATGATTTTCGTCCAAGGGCCTTCTAGAAAGGTTCCATGGGTTGATTAAGGCCTAAGCAGAGAACTAGGGTTTCTCCTGAAACCCTAGCAGCCCACACAAGTATAAATAGACCCCTAGGGCACCTTAAGTCATCCTCTTGGTCTTGGTGTTTGTGAGACATTAGAGGTGTGACACTTGTGACACTAAGCTTTCAGAAGCCAATTAGAAGAAGGAATAGATTGTTATTGCTACATAACAATCAAAGGTAAGATCTAAACCCTAATTCATATGTTAAATTGTTTATTGTATGCTAGATCTAGGGTTTATGGCTTTGGATGATTATTGCATGTTAATTAGACAAACTAGATCCAAACTTTTAGGGTTTGCATGAACACCATAGGAATGATGTAGAGCTCATAACCCATCAGTGGTATCAGAGCCTAGGCTGTTTGTATAATGAATTGATGCAATTGCGGACTACGAAAGATCAGAAAATCAAAATTTTTTGCTGACTGTATGATGAACTCACCGAGTTTCTCTAAGAACTCGACTATTTGCATGAACTCGACGAGTTCCAAAGAGAACTCGATGAGTTGGAGGGTCTGGTGCCGGGATTTTCAATTTTCTGGCCAATTTCTGATTAGGATAATTATCAAAACTCGTTTTTATTGCCTAAAATCGAATTTTTATGTTTGGACTGATTATCCTTATCAAAATTGATGGATTTGGTTAAATATGGATAATATAGGATTATTATAAGTAAAATATTTGACCTAGTAAGTTTGAAAAGTTTCAATTTACACCCTTTGGTTTTATAGTTTAAATTTAAACTTAATAGTTTTAGTTTTGAAATTTAAATAGTTAAACCTAATTGTTTTGAAAAGTTTCAAAACTTGCCCTCAAGTTTTGGAAATTAAATCTTGATTAAAAGTTTAAAATGTTAAATTCTAAAACCTTAATTTTGAAAAAGTTCAAATTGCACCCTTATGGTTTTATTAAATTAATTAAGTGTATAATTAAAAGAAAGTTAATAAATCCATAGTGATATGGTTTACATTTAATTAAATTAAAAGTGTAATTTATTAAATCAGACCACATAGTATTTTAAAAGTGTAAAATACACCGTTATACTATATATAAAATTAAAAGGTCTAATATTATATATGTATAACATAAATGCTAGTCTTACCGTTAGTAGGCCTCATTCTCGAAGCTGATCTATAAGGGGTGTTTAAGGAAGCGCCTGTAAAATGACCGCTATTGGATATCCACTCTTACCCACCGCACTCTGACTAGTGGAGGGTCGTTAGCCGAACGGATAGGACAGGGAAAACCCTTTCCATTAAAAGTATAATGAGTTATAAAGTACCTAAATGTTTTATAAAATTCCCAATCTTAGTTACTTTAGGCAAAAGTGAATTTGATGCAATTCCATGAAATTACACTTTGTACCCTTGCTAAGACGTTAGTGGAGCATGTGTCGTTAACCGACATACTAAATGGGCTCTAAGCAAAGGTAGCGAAGGGTGACTCGATGTTTGTCATAGTTCGATGGAGCATATGTGGTTAACCGGTACATCGAATAGATTAATGTAACATTAGGGGCACCATGTAAGTTTGCATGGTTATTCACACCCTGTGTTGTGATCCTCGGCATCCCAGTCACAAATCGAGGGGCATATCGAGATTTAAACATGCCATTGAAAAGTTCAATGAGTATCAAAGGATCTAGGAGTTTTCAATACATTTAAAACTTAATCTCTTTTTCATTTTCATGGTGGAAAATTAGTGAATTGTCATTCACTTACCTTCAAATGTTCTGCCATTTGGGTTACGGCATCCTTCTCCCAAGTAGTAGAGTATTGTGTTGGGTCCTAGCCTTAATATCTCATTTGTGTGTTTTATTAAGGACTCATTCAATCAACTAACTTGAATTTTCTCCCGTTTTGTAGATGTCAAAGTCTGACAACTATGGTCTTCCTGAATTCGTAGGAAAAAGTTTTCCACATGAAGATGATATTCCACGATTCGATCGAGGAACAAGAGATCATGCTTCACTTCCTCCACCTCCTCCTATTATTCTCCCTGACCCACAAGTTCAAAGGCTTGAAAAGTTTAAGCTCACTCAAGCCCTTATTGCAAGTAAACACGATGAAGGAAAGTCAGTGTGTACACACGTCTTAAAGATGAAGTCGCACATTGACAAGTTAAGAATGTTGGGAGTCGTTGTCTGTGAGGAGTTGGCTGTTGACTGGGTTCTTCAGTCGCTTCCTGACTCATATAGTGAGCTCGTAAGAAAGTATTATATGATAGACCACGACGTGACCCTCATCGACCTCACCTATTTGCTTATTGCTGCTGAATCAGCGATGATTTGGCGCACTGGAAAAGCAAAGTTAATTGATGGATCTGCCTTCCAGTCCTATATGGATATAGGCAATGGCAACGAAAGGCATGCCATGGTCGAAAAGTTTGATCATAAGAGAAAGGCAAAGTCTGAAGTAGTTCCGTGTGCTGTTCCAAAAGACTCA